AGCACCACGGCACCACCAGCCTTGCGAATCTTCTTGTCGGCAAGCTTGCTCACCCAGCGGGCCTTCACAATGCAAGGGGCCTGCAGGTGGCCGTTGCCAAGCAGCTTCGAGTACCCGTTTGCCAGGAGATCAACAACGGGCAAGGCCTCTCCCTTCTTCGCCTTCAGCGCCTCATCCTTGGCGATCAACTTCGTGATGTTGTTCAGGTTGATCGTCGGCTTCCACAGAGCGTTCTTCTTCAGGTGGTAGTGGTTCATGCCGCACTTGCCGAAGTATCCGGGGTGGTACTTGTCAAAGTTGATGCGGTGGTGGTGCTGGCCACCGGCGTTACCGCGCCCGGAGGGATGCTTGCGGTGCTTGCCAACGCGACCATAGCCGCAGAACGTGGAACCACGCTGGTGACGAGTCTTCTTAAAGCGGGTTGGCATGTCGTCAGCTGCTACAAGGTAGAGAAGCAGTCAAAGCAAAACAAAGAGGAGGGAAGAAGTAGTAGCAACTGAACAGGAAGCAAAAGGGCGGAAAATGAAATGGCACACGTGGCCTCAAAAGAAAAAAAGAAAAAGCGACCACAGGAAAAAGCGCCTGAATGGGTCCACCATATCACTCTTGCCAGTTAGACACAACCTGAGCAGGAGTGGCAGTACTCAGCCACAACTTGACCGACACACGGCGCTGCTCGATGTCTTCGCACCGCTTAGAGCCGCGGCGGTCAACGGTGGGATATAATCGTCCCCCCCCCCTCCCTCCCTCCCTCTCTCGTCAGTTACCCTCATCGTCAAGCCACCACCCTCCTGCCGCATAGTTTGAAGTGAGAGGCAGAGAGGAAGAGGAAAAGGAAGAGGGGGGGGGGATCGATGAGGGCATACAGCCGAAGAGCATGAACGCAGACAGGCCGCAGCAAGACGCTGGATGGAGGCAGCATGTGCTCCACCCGTTGCGAGATCCCTCCTCACTCTCACCTTCGAGTCTCCTTCAACCCGCGGACGCCCCGGCAAAGCCACCACGCACCTCCGTGAGCAGCAACCTGAATAACAGCTGTACGTCAATGGGGCGTATAACCTCTCCTCATGGAGGTGTAAAGTAGCCTTCTCGGAGTCAACATTCCTCCAGTTCCCCACAGCGGGCACTCCAGCTGCCGTAACGCTCTCCTCGCGAGGGGGGAAAAAAATGGGAGCGCCGCTTCAGCGTTGAGACGAGAATAACCGCCGGCAACAATGCTGATCCAACGACACAATAATTACATCATGTAGCTCCCTCGACTCATTACTACGCCGCAGGCAAACAACTACTACCAAAACACATTGTTTGCTGATCCTACTAAAAGCAACTATGTCCGATAAGAAAAACGCCACGTCATAACTTTTTTTAATGGAAAAAAATGAAGCAGCATGACAGTATACCATCGAGAGAAGTAACAAATGTACATACAACTATCGACGGCAGAAGGAAGGACGGCAACAGTCATAACGGAGAAGCTAAATAAATAAAATAAAGGCAAAAAGAAAAACAAAGAAAACAGAATCAGCAGCTGCTTTCCCAACCGACACATATTCTCTACGCCTGCAGCACCACGGCACCACCAGCCTTGCGAATCTTCTTGTCGGCAAGCTTGCTCACCCAGCGGGCCTTCACAATGCAAGGGGCCTGCAGGTGGCCATTGCCAAGCAGCTTCGAGTACCCGTTTGCCAGGAGATCAACAACGGGCAAGGCCTCTCCCTTCTTCGCCTTCAGCGCCTCATCCTTGGCGATCAACTTCGTGATGTTGTTCAGGTTGATCGTCGGCTTCCACAGAGCGTTCTTCTTCAGGTGGTAGTGGTTCATGCCGCACTTGCCGAAGTATCCGGGGTGGTAC